GGGGGGGTTGTATCATAGATTATGGTAGGGATAGGGATCAAGAGAATGATTTTTGAGATCAAAGTGGTGGTTGTGTATTAAAACGTGTGAATTTTCTCATTTCCATCTACTTGTCATTATTGTCCGGCTATATACAACAGCAACTTATACGATCACTCCCCTATATATAACGGGGAAAAAAAGAAATCAGTGAGGAGCGGGACAAACAGCTTGGACGCTCTGGTGCTGCTGCTGCCTGCTCACGCTCCCGTACTTGGCCTGCCAAGCATAAAAGTACATGAGCGCTGCGAACGGCTGTCCGAATATCGTGAAAGAGACCCAAAAGATGGTGTTGCCCAGCAGCTTCCCGCTCGACGACTTTCTTTTCTCCAGCGGTTGGGTTATTTGGATGAGGGGTAGCTGTAAGAACATGCCCAGAAAGGCGACACCTACTATCCGTTAGCATCACGACCTTTGATGGGAGGAAGGGGGGATGGGGGGAAAATACCGATGAGATTGTGAGTAGGTACACCAACCAGCAACTCATGCAAAACCGCACTCAGGAAAAAAACCGCAAAGCTCGCAGTCTTGTGCGTGTACCCCCTCGAGCGCATAGGGGAATAGACGTGACGCCGGAAAAACTGATACACTGGCTTGTTCCACGTCCGCCAGTACATCCCCAACCCCTCACTATTCCACCACGCTTCGTAAAAACTCCTATCCCCAAACCTTGTGATTTCCGCCAGGGCGTTGAGGAAGGATTGGAATAACGCAAAAAATCCGGCTAGCCAGATGACGAGGGAGATGGTGCTCAGTTTGAGGAGGCGTTCGATTATACTGAAATAATCCAACGAGGCGATTTTATCGAGCGAGTTGATCAACACCGGGGTGGCATACTGCGCGGAGCAGAACCATATAAACACCGAGAGGCAGACAACCTCGCCGAGCCGTTTGGCCACAAACACCCAGCGGATTTTGGAGGTGCGGGGGTAGACGGGTTGGTAGATTAAGGTTGGTGCCCACCAAAAGTAGACTAGATTCGTAAAGGTGATGTTGTTGGGGTAGGGGCACTCCCTATATAATTCCGGGAGGGCGTCGAGTTCACCAGTGACGGGGTGGAGGTAGGCGTGGCGGAGGTCGCGGTTGGTGAATGCGTAGCTGGCGGTTTTGAGCCAGACGATGATGGCGTGGACTTCGGAGAGGGTGCCGATGAGGGGGTGGTGGACGTGGTACCAGACTACGTAGGTCGTCAAAACAAGGCAGGTGGTGATGTTGAGGGCGTGGAAGACCCAGATGAGGGTCCAGGTGGATTGGAACTTGGAGAGCTGGGCTTCGGTGGGACTGGAGGTTCCTGAGGGGGAGGGTTTGGGTTTTGGGAATAGGGAGCTGCGGGCTGAGTGGGCGGCTACGAGCTCAATGAAGTAGGCGAGGAAGAGGTGGCAGGGGATGAGGAAGTAGAGGAAGATGCCGATTTGGAGGTCGGTGGGGCGGAAGTCGTGGCAGTTGAGGCAGATGAGGACGCCATACTGGGGTTTTATGTCAGTGAATGTAGGGGAATCGTTGGTGAAAACCAAGGCAGCCGGCTACCTTTTGAATGTTTTCAATGACAAGACGGAGGTTGCCAACTACCAGGACAATCACCATGAGGTTGCGAAACCCCAAAAAGCTGGGTGTCTCGGTTGTGTCATGGCTAAGACATGAGGGTTGCGACTCAGAATGAATAGCTTCGACATGGCGGTACTTGCTGCTGCGATATGATCGTTTCGGTTTCTCTGGTGTTGAAATTGTTGTTTCCGTGTTGGAATTGCCATTCAATTGGTCCGTCTTTTTCACAACTCCCCCATCCTCCCCTCCTGTTCTGCGAGTGACGCCATTCGCGGGGTCATCAAGGCGAGTGCCCGTCGCTGTAGCCGTGTTCATCTTGGAATCATTGGTAGGCGATAATGACGCCTGAGACATGAGATTGAACAAACAAAAATAAAAATGGAAAATGGTGTGGGTGAAATAAACAAAAGTAGCGAACGTTATAATGTTGAAAGAAGGTGGTGGCGATATAACAAATCAAATCGTTTTTTGGCTGGTCAGGGTCCAAGAAACGGTGCGCCACTGGGCTGGTTATATTTGGCAGAGATGCCGATGGAACTAATTCCTCGGTATGGCACGGAAGGGCCGAGGAAGGAGAAGAGAATTGGAAGCGAATGAATGGGTCAGAAGCAGGCCGCGAGGACGTGATATCGATGCTTGATGTATGTAATAAGGGGCCAAAGGGGCAGGGCGGGCAGGGCAGGGCAGGGAAGGGAGCAAAGCTAAGGTAGCTAGGCCCGCAGCAGAACACCGTTGGCTGCTGCAACCGGGAGCCTCAAAGTGTCCGTTTATACGAGAGAAGCAGTGATGGTGAAGATAGATAACAAGCAACTGGTGGTTGTTTAAAAGTCACAAGTTCTTATCTTGCTGGAGGGTACACCAAGAGCACGAGACATTGTGAGCCAAGCTCTTACAGGCAGTTCAATATCGAAAGCAGCGTCGACATTGGACGAAGAACGTGAAAAGCTGCAGGCCTGCTTTCAGGTTTGCACATGCAATTCCTGCAGTCGTCACAACGGTGGGGCATATCATGGCAGGGGTGGTGCTGTCTTGGCGCATGCCAGCCTGCTCCACCAGGGCAAGGAGGTGCACCGTGTCTATATTACCACCACACTGTGGCATCCACACTTGCTTCGTGCACGGTCCACATGTTAATTGCTTCGCGCCCACCATGGGACGCGACAAAGCCAGAAGCTTCAGAGAGCTGTTACTTTATAGACAATTCACAAATTGCACCCAAAAACACTAGCTCGACTTGTTGCTTGTCCCAACGTCGTCACTACACCCAATCCCATGAGATTAGCCATCATAGTATAAATCTCGACAGAAATCTTACCCAGCTTATCACCAAGGTCTTGTACAGGTCGATACAGGTACTGGTCTCATTCATTGCCGAGTCTCATCGAATTCGATCCCGGCCATATTGATATTGCCATTGCCATGGCATACGAGGGCAGAGACCATGGCGAGAAGGGCTTCGGCGGGGGCGGCCACGATGGTCCTATGCCGCCGAGAGCTCGAGGTCGACGTAAGTTATCGCCTTATTGCTGCGACTCTAAGTTCTGTTTGCGACTTCCCCCACCCCTGATACATCCTGATACATCGACAACATTGATCACCAAGATGACTCGCAAAAAACAGAAACAGAAACGGGCCAAAAAGCTAACAGAACCTCCCCCTCCCCCCCCCAGGTCCTGTAACCGACTATGGTGCCACCATTGTCCACTGGATGAGAAACCGCCGGCCGGGATACCAGGGTTCCTACCGTGGTGAGGTTGAGAGACCGAGTGCTAGCTATATTGTCGATGTAAGTACTTCCACTCTTGTTTCCGGTGCAATAATCAATGCTAATTCCTCGACAGATGCTTCCACCCATTGCCAGAAGATCGAATCCAGCTGACACGGTGCCAACCAAGCACCTTCACTCCTCCCTCAACAAGATCAAACATCCCGTCAACGTGGTGAGATGGACGCCAGAAGGCAGAAGACTTTTGACGGCCTCTAGCAGTGGCGAGTTCACGCTTTGGAATGGCACAGGTTTCAACTTCGAAACCATCATGCAGGCTCACGACTCTGCTATCCGCGCCTTAGCCTACTCCCATAGCGACGATTGGCTTGTGTCTGCTGATCACGACGGCATGATCAAATATTGGCAACCCAATTTCAACAACTTGGAGAGTTTCCGCGCTCATCAAGATCCTGTTCGAGATCTTGCCTTTAGCCCGAACGACACCAAGTTTGTGACCGCCTCGGACGACTCTACTCTCAAGATTTTCGACTTTGCTGCTGCCGCTTCTGAACAGACACTGACGGGTCATGGATGGGATGCAAAGAGTTGCGACTGGCATCCCACAAAGGGACTGATTGTGTCGGGATCAAAGGACCATCTCGTCAAGCTCTGGGATCCAAGAACAGGTCGCTGCCTGACCACACTCCATGGCCACAAGAACACCATCACAAAGACTTCCTTTGAGAAGGTACGAGGCCAATGCCTCGCCACGTCTGCCCGAGACCAAACTGCTCGTGTGTTCGACCTGCGCATGATGAGAGATATTGTCCTCCTCCGCGGTCACGAGAAGGATATCTCCACCCTGACATGGCATCCCATCCACCCAAATCTTCTCAGCACTGGCGGCGCCGAAGGTTCGCTCTTTCACTACTTGCTCGACGAGCCCAACACCCCTCCGGGCCACGCGCCCTCCATTGCTGTATACGACAGCCCCGATCCTCAGTCATGCCCTGCCCAGACTATTTACCCTGCCCACAAGATACCCTATGCTCACGACTTTGCTATCTGGTCGCTCGACTGGCATCCGCTTGGCCACATTCTAGCATCGGGTTCCAACGACCGTATCACCCGTTTTTGGACCCGCTCTCGACCGGGCGAAACTGAATTCAACGATCGCTACCACATTGGCGAAGCCGCCGCTGAGGCCCAAGGCACATGGGATCGCCGTGGGAACCGTCATATGCGTCAAGTCGAAGAAGAACAAGAAATGGAGGATGAGATGGACGGCCTTGTCGACCAAAAGATGCCCATCAAGCCACCTGGCATTCCTGGGTTTGGCAACATTCCAGGCCTGCCCATGCAAGGAGTTTCAGCTCTGCCCGGCCTAGGTCCTCCACCGCCGCCTGGTCTTGCCGGAAGAGGTGCCGGTGTTCCACCCAACTTACCCTTCCCGTTACCAGGACTCCCACCGCCTCCGCTCCCCGGAATCGATCCCAAGAATCCTCCCGATTTCGCTGCCATTGCCGAGATGATGAAGAAGGCTGGTATTCCACCGCCACCACCTCCCGGCTCGGGTGGTATCCCGCCTCCCCCGCCAGGGATGCTTCCGCCTGGCCTCATTCCGCCTCCAGGGTTTCCTCTGCCACCTGGTTTCCCTCCTCCGCCGCCCCATCTGGCTGCTCAAGCTGCGGCCCAGAATTTTGGTGACGGCGGTCATGGGGATCATGAGGCGGGCGGCCGAAGACGAGCACCGCTTCCTAGTCAGGAGGAGAGTCTGCGGATGGAACAGAACCGGGGGCATTATACCAGAGCGAGATAGGAAAGGGGCTGGGTGGGGAGGAAGGACAAAAGACCAGTGGGGATTCGTATTTGTATCATAATGTTTAAACCAAGCGAATTGATCACATATGCACTCTACAACTTGAGTGTGTCCATGAGAGTCGGGCATTGGGTTCCATCGAGTGCTACATTATTAGACAGGGTGTACCTCTTATGCTTTGTGGTCGAGAGATTGTTCTGCCGAGAGTGCGCACATGATTGCTTTACTGACCTTGTATGAAGTGATGTCTCAAGGCAGGGCTAGCTTCAGCCACATAGAATGAGAGTTTGACTGTGTCAAGGTTGAGTTTCCTCACCCAGCCACAACCCACTCTTTCACCCAGGCGCCTGACTGGAAGTCTAAACCCGAGATAAAGTTTCTTACGGATAGCATGTTACAAACCCTGAAAGATGGAAGGGGCACCACGTCAAATCTTTCGGCTCATCGCCACTCTCTTTTATTTAAACATCTTCCTTCCATCGACAGCGATCCATCTCAGCAACAGATGCGACCTCGTTCCAATCCGTCGTGTCAACTTCCCACCAACATGGAAGACTTCCAAACCTCCGATCTCGATGACATCCCCAAGCTCACAACACGATGCAACGATCACGTCAACGAAGCTTGCCGCCTAGCCGGAACACCAGGCGAGCCACCAGGACCATTTTGGTATCTCCGTTTCAGGTACTGGGTTCAGTTTGCCCATGTGGCTCTTCTACGACTTAAGGAGAAAGAGGAGAGAATCCAGAGCTTGGAGAAAGAGTCGATTTACTCGCAAGCCAGGGCCGAATTATTGGAAGCCGAGCTTCAGAGGTCATATACCACGTTAACCTCGCTCTCCCAGGCTCTCGCCAACGTTACTTCCTCCGCATCGGAAAATGACAGTTCCTCCTCCACCTCCCTGGACAAGAACACCACGGCTGATACGCAGCAATCCACAACCCCCAATCTTGAAGTCCGTGTGGAAGAACTGGAGGCCTTGGTCACGACTCTTGCTGCCTCCGACCCTTTCGCCACCCCAACTTCCACCGTGCCAACCACACCAATCATGACACCGACAACCACGGCAACCAATTCAACTGTGGGTGCGGCAGTAGATGTGGTCCGGTGTCTAACCTGCTCGAAAGACTTTTCCCACTTGAGAGACTATCAAAACCACACGTGTGCGGCGGTATGTAATGATATAGCCCAGTGTCTAACCTGCTGGAAAATCTTTTACCCCTTTGGAGGCCACCTCCGTTGGCACGAGCGGGTGAGCCGCTATGTCTGTGGGCGATCCCTGGGTACAGGGCGTGACTGATCCCTCTGAGGTTGAGTTGGCTGTGGGTGCTAGGAGATATAAACCTTTTTCCTGGGATTGGGGGGAGTATGAAGAGGTTAGGGATGTCGTGGGAGACACCGGGGGGGCCGGGTATTGTTGATAGATCTGAACGGGATATCTTTGTGGCGTCTTGGTTTTGGTAATTAGGGGGGACATCAACGGGGATATAGGCCGGTGAGAATGGGAGGATTGTTGGGTGATGATAACAGTGCTGTAACGGAAAGGACTATACCTTACTATCATACGTACCACTTTTAGGGAGTTCTTCTGTACATGGATATTATTTACAATCTAAACAAACCCAAATCCACCCTCTTTTTCACAAGTCAAACTTCTACACCATCCATACATCCATCTATTCAACCATCATGACAAGTCCCTTTCCAGCAAACACACCCTCTTCCGTCCCAGCTTACACCAACAAGCTTGCCTACTTTTACACAATATATACCTCCTTCCCTTTCCCTCCCCCAGCGAAAGTAGCCAAGGTTTCCTTCAACCAATCAACAAAGAATTTCCGTATACGACGAACATCCAAGGAGGGAAACCCCCGCCTCTCCGTCAGAATCCCGCCCTCTCGCGTCCTTCGGGTTAGTGGTTGAGGAAAAAAGGAGACTGATTTCTGTTCCAGTTAGGTACAGAAAGGGTACAACATCTTCGCTTTACATTTTTATTTTCTTCTTCTCAATCTTTGTTGCTTTGGTCTTCAACAATGATACATTCATTCACACTGGCTTAGGTATCTTTCACATTTTTTCTTCCTCACATAAAACACACAAATCATACCTCCAGCTAGGGAGATTCGGGGGTTTTTTTTTTCTTTTTTTCGATATTTAACTGATAAGTTTTACCTAAGGTGTGCGCTTCGCGCTTGGAGTGGGGACATGAGATGAGTAGTTGTGATGGCAGAAAATAGATTCTACTTTGTCAGATCGAGCAAGATGAATTGTAGTTAGGTAGGTAGGTAGGTAGTCTTGATGATGCCCACAGCGTGCTGGGGCACTCCAAAGCAGGACTCAAATCGTCAATATCTAGCCTCCGTCTCGACTCCGCTCAAAGAGTCATCCATCCGATCTCGTGTTTTATGTGGTTTGTCGTTCGCCACCCGGCCGGCCCGGCTCGGACACATCTTACCGGAGTCCTTCCCACAAGCATTTACATAACACCAGCCGGTGCTGCCCCGTCGAGTTAATAACATGTCCTTGTTAGCTGGCCTTCAAGACTCTACCTGAAGCCATCAGCAATAGGGATGGAACTTACTTAGCACGGGACACATGCACTCTCCTTAGCCTTAGACACTCAATCACATCAGCCCCAACCCAAAGTAATAGCAGACAGTATAAGTTGACATAAACTATACCACACACACACACACCCTTACTACGAAAAAACAACAACGGCCCCCTGCCTTCCTTCTCATACGCCCGGCTTTAAACCCCTAACCCTCCATAAACAGACAAGACAACAACAAAAAAAGAACATAACACAAACAGAAACCAACAACCACCCCCACCTCTCATCCCCCCCCATTACCCCCTTATACCTCGCCTCCAAACTATCATACACACACTTCTTCACTTCTTTACACCTCCCATTCCCCATCCCCATTTTCCCACGCCTATCAAGCCTTGGAACTCCTAAGAGAGTCATATTACAACATCCAACCCCTCGTCCCGCTCATTTCCCTCTCTGGTTTGTTGTGTCCCTCCAACCCCAACATGGAGTCATGATCAAGGTCACAAGGATCAATGCAGGCTGCAGGAATAAAGTGACAAGAAAAAGTTTTGCTTGTGCTGAAATTGTACAGGCGCCATACAGCATTCCCACCCCATTTTCCTACCACAACCCCCCCAACAACCTTTTCTCGTCATGTGGAAAAAACCGAACGGGTGTTTTGTGTGTGTGTGCGACTGACTGGATCTGAAAACTGGCGGGCTACCAACAAAAGTAGACTAATAAAAAGGTGAACGAACAACGACAACCCCTGGGTAGAGAAAAAAAAATGATAGATTCGGCAGCATCGGGCAGCCAAGCCCAGAGACAAGGAGAATAGAGAAGGAAGAGAAACCAAAAAGCAGTTCCCCCCTCCCCTGACGTTGTTCACTGCGATAAAAGAACAGAAGAGAGAAGAAGACAACAACTTGATAATTCCCCAACCCCTCCCTTCCCTTTCCCTGAACCTAACATGAATGGAGACCCGCTTATCTATACCTTTCCCATCATTATGAGGCGTGACAATGAAAGTCGTTATTCGTCCCCCTCCCAAAAAGTTTTGCAGTTGCCCCTTTCTGAACCCATTTTACACAGAGATTAATGTTTTTTTTCTGTTCGCTCGGTAGTCGATGGACGATGGTGGCGATGGGGAGTGGGCAGCCTAATGTGTGAAAGCCGTGGCCCGATATAAGATGCGGAGGAAGCGGTCGAAAGAAACGGTGAGAGAGACGAGGCTGGGTGCCTGGGTGGTGGGCAAAGACTCGTGAAGAGGACGGTGGTGGAAAAAGCCGACGAGGGGAAGTGACTTTGGTTGTTCGTGATTTGGCGATGCGGTAGGGGAAATTTATCGACGTCCGAACCTAAAAGATGGGGGAGAAAAGTTCGTATGAATACTTGACAATTATTTGGAAGCTTTCCGGGGGGTGGAGGTTCTGCTTCCGCCTCCGAGGCCGTGAACATACTTTTGTTTCTTCTCTGCGGGTTTGAGAATCTGGAGATGGTGTTAGCCATATGCAAACTGGTTATTGTGGCAGGGCAAATACACACCTGGAATGAGCAAAGGAGACTCTCGTCGACGCTCATCATGGCACCAGCATTGTCGAACTCGCCGCAGTAGTTGGGGGCGCTGAATAGCGTAACGAGCTGACGCTTAGAGAAGAACTCGTAACCATCCTCGACAACCTGATGGGCACGGCAGATAAGATCCATGTCGTGTTTTTGCAGGAAGCGAGAGACGACATCAGGGCCAAAGGTGAACGAGACACCACGATCGTTCTCACTCCACCCGGTGATGTCCTTATCTGGGTCGGACCACAGGAGATCGCAAAGCAGACCGCAGTCGGGGATCTGCAAGCATGCGGTTAGTATCTGGCTCAGGCATTCCGAGCCCGGCAGGGTTAGAAGCAAACGCAGAACAACTTACATCAGTGGGTCTCATGACACGGCGGATCTGCTCCATAGAGTTGAGGTCGGGACTAAGACCACCGTGCATGGTAAAGATCTTCTCGTCAATAATGGCGGCAATGGGGAGACAGTTGAAGCAGTCGGTAAATGTCTTCCAGAGCTTGATGTTGTAGCGACGCTTGCACTCGTCGTAGAAACCATAGATACGGTTGATGGAGGCACACTCGTGGTTGCCACGGAGGATGAAGAAGTTCTCGGGGTACTTGATCTTGTAGGCGAGCAGCAGGCAGATGGTCTCCAGGGACTGCTTGCCTCTGTCGACATAATCACCGAGGAAGAGGTAGTTGGCCTCGGGGGGGAATCCACCGTACTCAAACAGCCGGAGCAAGTCATAGTATTGCCCGTGAATATCACCGCAGATCTGCGTAGGACGAGACAATGTTAGCCAGGTGCGCAAGGCAAAGATTTTGGGGGAGGACGGTGTTCCACTCCAGACCACGCGTCAGCGGAAAAGGTCTTACCTTGATGGGAGCTTCAAGCTCAAGAAGGATGGGCTGCGAAATGAAGATCTCGCGAGCCTTGGTGCAAAGATAGCGAATCTCGGCCTCGAGCAGCTGGACTTGCTTGCCCGGTCGGCTGCCCCGCACTTCCAGGAGGCGATCGATTATCGAGTCAAGGTCGACTTCGTGTTGGTCCGCCATTGTAAATATTCCTCAATCCTCACCAGCCTTCGGCTTTGGCGCACGCAAAAAAAAAAAAAAAGACCGAGTTGTTGGTAGTGACCGGCAGATCCCAGGCAGTCAGAGACAGGACAGGAAAAAAAACGGCGAGCGCGCTGGAAAACCGGAGCGATGATGCACTTCTGGGAGCTGGTTGTAGAGAATGGACAATAACAGATGAATTAGTCAAGCTCGAAACACAAAACTTGGGATGAAAAGTCGCGGAGCGGGTCTCTTGCAGGCCAGATGCCAGATGCCAGATGCCAGGGAAGAGTGAATGCGCGACGAATCGAAGCGTGGATTTGCTTTGTGCTAGTAGTGTTTGTGGAAAGCAGCAGCGACTCACCTATTACGCTGCAAAACAGAAGCGATCTCAGCAACGAGTGGTTGTGACGGGAGAGGGAGATTCGGGGGGGAGAGAGGCCCCTTCGTGTTTCTCTGCTTTTTTTGGGGGGTTTGGTATTTGCAGAGGTTCTATTTTTTATTTTTTTTGGTACCTTGGCCGTTAGATGGCGAAAGTGGGTTGTCGTCACCGGGTCTGGCGGGATTGCAGCGGACAACTTTCAGCGAGGGCGACCGCGGAGAGCAGGTGCTGCGTCGTCAACGGAGTAAACCTGAACTGCAAAAAAAGTAAATCACGTGTCGCTGGGTAGATCGCTATGGGGTCAGCAGCAGGATGGCCGCTTTGTTATCGTCTTGTTAAGAGGGAGGAGGCAAAGGGGTCGGCTGGGCCGGTCGTCTTGGTCGAGAAAGTGAGGGTGTTCGCGGGACGGGAGGGTGATGAGAGGCTGCCACGGTCGGGAATGGGAACGGGATGGGCTCTGGCCTGCTCTGCTCTGCGCTCTGCTCTTCTGCGGGTGGTGCAAATGATGCTCCGTCGGCAGGAATTCGCGGGCGGTGTCTTAATGTCAGATAGAGGCTGTTATCGTCAACTGCGCAGTTTCCTGTGTGATCACAATCGTGTCGCCGTGGTTTAAGTCCGTCTCTGTGTGTTGATGTGTTGACGAATGGACCCGTGGGTTGGGATAGAGGTCGGAAAAATTCAGAGTTGGCAAGTTTGTTTGAGACTTTTTGGAGGAGGAGACCCCGGGGGGGCACACACTGACTGTCCGACAACTGGGGCGCTCCATCCACTACCCGCGAAAAATTATACTGCAGGACAGGGAGAAGCGCGTCATCTGCTAACAATAATCGCCCGCAGACCAGTGCCCCAAGTGTTAGTCCGTCTACCCTACTAGATGCATTGTCGACTCCTGAGCCGGGATTGGCTGTGGATATCAACCCCTCGACCCTCTCCTCCCTGCCCATTTCGCCCTTGGCAATCTAAAACGGATCTTCTTTGACCTCCCCCCCCCAAGCAGTGCTACTTTTGCCTGCCAAATACCCCACGGCGGCGAGGCCTGATATTTCTCCCCAAAAGGGCCGAGCTACCTATGGTTGTCTATTCTATTCTTTCTGTTCTTTTTTTCTGGTCTCTGGTCCCCAGCATCTGGCCGTCCTCCGTCTTATCTCACCGCCGACGCCTCTTTTTTATAGTAGCCTCGTGTACCAAGCACTCGTGCCCAGTTTCCCGTTTCTCCTGGCTGTTCAACACGACGCTATGACGGTAGCCAAACAACCCAAGAAGAAAACGACTGGGCTTCGCTTCGCTGTTTCCGAGCACGTCTCTACGGATATACGACAGGCCCAGGTGCTTTGTGAAGCTCTTTGTCCTTGCCCTTCGATCCTCATCAGCTCTTTAACCTGCCTGCTTATACAACCAGGTGCTGGTGGGGGCCGGGCCTCGACCAACTCGAGTTTGGAGGTCTCCCACGCAGACCTAGACTTGGCGCCGGGTCTCCTGGACTGCGCCCCAGGGGATTCCCAGGCCAGGTGGTCCAAAGGTATCAAGTTTGTGCCTTAGAGCGCGTTGCCGCTTGCCTTAGTCGTGGGATCCCTTCTGATTCGCTGTCACTCTTCCCTTCGCCGACGTCTCCCCTAACATGGCAATCATCTACCTCATCCCCCTCATGGAAACATGTTTCCCCTATTCTGGTTTCACACCATAGCAACTAGAACCAGCACCGAGCGAGACCTCTCGCAGACTACCTTAGCCGAGCCCCTTCTGGCCGAATATTCCTATCTGTAAGTCCAGAGCAGGTGGTAAGTGGTGGCGTTGGACCTGGTTGGGTGCTACTGGGTGCTACTGGGTGCTTCTACATGGCTTACATATCAAGTCGTACAGGTGCAGCACCCAGCTTCCACCAAGAGGCTACTCGTGACTCACCGGGCACCATCCACTGTGTTTCCTTTCGGTGAAGAGACGTTGCGAATTAAGAACAAGACCGGATTCCCATGAAGGGGTTTCCCACCAGAGAGAGCTAAGATGACCTTGTCCCCCTCTTTCGACCGGATAGAGCACCAGAGCACCGGGACACCTGCCTCTCTTGTGCTCCCCCTCATTTGCCGCAATGGACTTCTGTTGGGCGTTGCGTTGAGCACCACCCACACACTGTCGGCCAAGGCGGGGTTCTCCCCTCTGCCCCTCGTTTCCTGCCCGCCCATTTCTGCCCCTCCAACGATGCTGTCATAGCAATGATCCATTTCTGATTGAAAAAGGTTCCAGACCAGACCACAAATCACATGATCACCCCGTCTGCCTTCCACTCTCTTACCCAATCACTCCGCCCAAGTCGAGGATAGACAGGCGAGCGTTTCTGTATGTAACCCGATCGGTAGTACATCGCGCCAATCAAGTCCATACCGTTCTTTTTCCTCTTCGTTTTCTCTCTGGGGTAGAAACTCCACAAATACCTTCCCTGTTCGGCTACTCGCAGCAAATGGTCTCTCGACGGGTATATGTCATGCTGGAGCCGTTGGATTGCTGATCAGAGAGCGATCAGTGTCATTTTGACAATCACGCTGAAACCCTTTACGTAGGACCGACACAACGATATCTGTGGAAAAAACATACCCGCGGCAGGCAATTGCCGGCCTGGTTTGCTTCTCTATGCAGTCATGGTATCCACGAAATCACATCAACATCGCTGATAATTGGGGTCATGCAGCTACCCTTGAAAATCTACACGGCATAGCCAAGGCAACCAGCGCCACCTTGCTGCGACAGGGCCCATTATGATGATGGCAAGGCAAACTGAAGTCGTGATCACGGACTGATGTAGGAGTAAGCGCTAGAACAGCCTCTTTTGCAGTGGATAGGTTGGGGAAGGTATCATAGCCTCAGGATTGCCCATCTCGGCCGGGTACCTATATCGACAAAATCAACCAAGGCTACGTAACACGGGTGAATGTTGACTTCTCAGAAAGAAGTGCACCAGCCGCCCTGTGTCACGGAATATTCACGATACACCAGACAATCCACCTTGCCCAGTAACATTACACAAGAATTTGTTCCCCAGAGTTCCAAATTGATGACTCGTCAGAAGCAGAGAGCTTATCTCCTCGGGTACGACAAAAAAAGTCGATGTCAGTTACACAAAACTACCATCTCCATGTGTAACCAAAACACACAAAGCAGCAACTTATAATGAGACTGACTGCATTCCATATATTGAGACCCCTTAAAAGAGCTAAATCAATTTTCATGATACCCTCAGTTCACCAGACTCACTACTGACAAAAGCATCCGCCGAACTTTTTCCTAGTTTTATACTCAACAGCAACCACAAACCAACCACACCACGACACATCTTTCATCATCAGCAAAGAAAATACTGCTGTCACTACTACCAGGCGTTTGCTGCTACTCCTCTCCCTTTACCACCAAACAGTTAAGTTATCCACCTCAACACAACACTCACAATAAGGAGGGTTCGTATCCAACCCCCCCCCCCCCCTTCTCCCCGTTCTTCTTTCCTTCCTCCCCCCTCAGCCCAAAACCAGACTCACAAACATCACCTCTTTCCTTCCGGAGATCTTTCGCTCCTTCTTTTGCTCTCCGTCTTTCGTTTCTGTGGTCTAGATCTCTTTCATCTTCTTCTTCTTCTTCTCTCCACATGATTCCAACCCAATGTTACTCTATCCTACATATTGGGCTGCAAAAAATATGTGAGCAAATTCCTTTTTTGTCAAAATTCTCGCTCGATGTCTACTTCCGATACGGAACATACTTCTCAGCTGAATCATGTCCACTTTATTCAGCAATGTACTTCTGGTTCAAAAGGGGCTCTCGAGTTGTAAAAGAGAAACCAAATCTTCCATGGACGGAACCGGGGGGCAAGGTTCCAATTTGAATCTAAAGTTACCAGATAAGGAAAAAAGAAAGTCCAAAAGAGAATTGGGCGACCCCGGAATCGAACCGGGGTTTCTTCGGAATCGTATGTGATGTTTGTCTCCCAAACAAACCACAACGAAGCGTCCTGACCACTAGACTAGTCACCCGGTGAGGTATTTTACCCGAATTTGATGTCTGGCCGGTGTGGAAAGAGGGTTTTTCAAAGCCTCTCACTGTGGGTTGCGTTTGTGGGGCTTTGTGTGAGTCAAGAATGTGGAGGTAGGTGGGTGGGCATGAGAGGGTTGTGGCTTAAAGGTTCTGGGAAGCTGGAAAGAGGCTTGGGTTGGGGACGGTTGTCAACTTGTCGTGAGATGAGAAGCTTGACTAGCATGCACCCGAGCCACAGGAAGATGATCGAGAATGCAAATGCAGATATCTGTTGAGAGGATGACACACAGCTAAAGGCTTTAAAAGAGGATACACAATAGACAGAATTTCGGCGCGCAATATGCATTGTGATATCTTCTGCAATAGTGGTATTGGCTCGCTGTGCTTGCCAAGTATCAAACTCTCCACGAGAAGAGCTCGTCTTCCTTCGAATTTGAAGATCGCGAGATACTTTCTGTCATCCTTGTGAGAATGATTGATGCTCATAGGCACCCTAAGCCTCTAGTCAAGTGATGGCGAATGAAGACTAGAATGAGCGCGAGAAGCGAAGGTTCAGTTCGTCCAGACCTCTTTCAGCTTGAACAGACCAACCTATCCACCTAGGCGCTTCCTTGGTCGAGCCCAGCTGCTACCGCAACTAGAGACATCAACAGTTTGATTCCGTCTGCTCTCAAATTATGTAGCTCTCAAATATGCTGCCCTTCCACCGCGGCGCGTGTTTGCCTGTCTGCGAAACTGTCGAGTCCTGTGACTACCGCAGAGAAGACTCGCGCAAACAGCCACAACAACCGCCACGACGCACCTAGCCCATTCTGTCTAATCCAACGCAGCAATGGCAAAATACCCCAACGCCGTCGCTAATGCAGTTTTGGTTTTTCTCATTTTTGTTGTACGTGCTCGTATAAACGTGAATTAATCATTGCATGAGTTCCTCGCAGGTCCAGTCCTCGTACCTAAAAAGCATGTCAGTGGATGATAGCTCAGACCGCTAAGCTGGCGAAAAACTCACGTTCCATCAGGCATGTACCGGCGCACAATGAGGGGAATCTTCTTTTCCCTGAGCTCTTTGATGGCAATCTGCAGGGGATCCGTCTCACCCTCAAGGTCAACCAGCACAGGCGCATTCATGCTGTTGGTTGCCGTTAATCCCCAGGCATCATTCTCAAATGCTACAACCAACGCGACTCACCTGATCTGGAGAGCTCTTGTGCCGAGAATGCGCGCCTTCTCGTACTTGGTCATATATGGTGTTGTCTTGCGCTGGTCGTTGGGAATCTTCTTGTCCTTGTGCGACTTCTCAGTGCCCTTGCCGTGGTTGGCGGCCGCGTTGGGGTCGCCAGAGTTGACTACTTGGTTTGGGTCTTCGTCATCGCCAACGGGGCGGTTGTCGGCTTCGTCATCTTCCACTGGCTCGTAGTACTCATCGGGGTCCTCCTCGAAGGCGGGCTCATCGGCGCTGTATCAATCAGTCAGCGATTGGCCTTTCCTCGGCAGAAAGAAGCAGAAGCAAAGCAGAAAACTCAGGGAGGCGCGTACATGGGATCGCGGTCGTCGTCGCCAAAGTCAGACATGTTGTTGATCTGATGGAATGATACGATCCGAGAGAGACTGGGTGTGAGGATATGCGTAGTGGTGATGGGCAACAATGTCGGCTTTGTTGCGGCGATGAAATGGATGTTGCGTGGAACTGGGTGAAGCAAGTCTGGTAGGCGGCTGAAGGAGGGATCGTAAAATTATTTAAGTGGGCCCTGCGCAATGCGCAAGGCTGACCATTCACCGCGACTGGTTGGCGACGCGGGGGTGTGTGGGTCTAGGTGCTTTGCCGGCCGGGAGCTCAGTCGCACCTACAAAAAAGTTCGATATCGACGTTATCGCATTGAGCTGAACCTTGTTCTTGCAACGAACTGGTCCTTGATCTCAAGACTCCCGTCACCCACCCTCTTTGCTTGCTCTGGCCAGTCATGTCTGCCAGAGCAACAAGAGCCATGAAGCGAAAGGCTGATAACCGCGGCGAGTCGGCAGACTCGACCAAGCGCCAGCAACTCGACCTGGCCGACCAGGAGCTCGACAAGGGCAGCCCGGAGCAAGAAACTGCAGAATCCACCTCCATTTACGATGGCAACGATGCTGCTTCTGATACTGCCTCTCCCCCAGGCGACACCAATACCGTTGGGGCAACCTCGATCTCTACCTCCCGCCGAGGCCGCAAGTTCCCCTCCGATATGAAGACGATCAAGTGCACTTTCCCTGGCTGCGACAAGAGCTTCAACCGACCTGCTCGCCTGGTGTCTCATCTTCGAAGCCACACCGGCGATCGAATCCACCGCTGCACCTATGAAGGATGCGACAAATCCTACCTCGAAGAGAAACACCTGACGCAACACATCAAGGGTTCCCACACCCACGAGAAGAACTACGTCTGCAACGTCGAAGGATGCGGCAAAGCTTTCGTCACCAATACGAGACTCAAGAGGCATGCTGCCGTTCATGAAGGTGCTGAGCGATTTCGATGCCGAGACTATGAGGGTTGCAGTGAGAGCTTCCGGAAGCGTGAGACTCTGCAGCGGCACATTCGGACCAGGCACCTCAACCAGGCCGGTTTCCCTTGTCTGCAAGACGGTTGCCAAGAGGGCTTCGACAGCGCCGGTGCTCTCCGGCGTCACACGGAGCGCGAGCATGGGCAACTACGGTTTTGGTGCGACGAGTGCGCCAAGGAGACGGACGAGGATGGTGAAGAGAAAAGGGTTGGGTTTACGACGTTGAATATGCTTAAGACTCATGCTAGAACTGAGCACCGAGCGTGTCCTTTCTGCGACAAGAAGATCGGCCGGCAGTTTCAGCTGGAGGAGCACATGGAGAATATGCACTCTGGAAAATCCGTCGAGGAGAGAAAGGATGTGCCTTGCAACTGGCCAGGGTGCGAGAGCATGTTCACCCGAAAGTCCAACATGATGACGCACTACCGAAGTGCGCACGAAGGCAAGAAGTTTGTCTGTGGCGAGGTCAACACTTTCAACACGCCCGATATCGCGGATTGGAACTGGCAAGAGGAGGGTTGCAAGGCTCCGTTTGTTAGCAAGCTCAAGCTTGAGGAGCACATCCGATTTGTTCACCTAGGAAGGAAGCGTCCGGAGAGAACCATCACCCTGAACTTTGACGGACCGGACGAGGTGGACGAGATGACGGCGGCAGTCGACAAGAAGAAGCTTGCCTGCAGTGTACTTGGGTGCGAAGCGAGGTTCATCAGATATGCGGATCTCAACAAGCATTTGGAAGCTCATCAGAGACAGGCTTCAAGCATCGATGATGGATATGCTCAACAAGCGCAGCCCAATGTTGCCGTCGAGGCAGGATATGAGCCCCGAGATTTTATTCTTTCTGCCCCTCAAGACGGATATGGAAACCAGGACCACATGCTTGTCGTGCCTGATGCTGGGTATGGCGATCAAGGCCATATTCTCACCGCCAACAGCGCCTACGTCGCTCCGACCAACAGGTACGGCAACCAGGACCATATTCTCAACGATCTTAAGAACGAGCCGGGGATTCCAGATCTGACTGGGGATGCGCCTCACGGTCTTGCACTTGATCCGGAGCTGCAGGCTTCGACAATGGACATGCGGCTTCAGGGGCCAGATGATCAGCAACAGCAGCAACAGCAGGATCTAGATCCCAACTTTTATCCTGCTTTGGCGAATATGCTCGGAGGGGACACCCACGCCAACGCCGATTGGAATGTGATGAACGAACTGCTTGGCCATGGTCAGTATTAGGGAGACTGGGCTGGTTTGTAGTTTGCTGAATTCGGAGGGCATGGGCATGGGAATGGCGTTTGGGGGTTTAAATTAGAGATACCAGTTTTTTTATGTTTGGCACAGGTCGGTTTCCTATTGTGTTATAGCGACGTATGTATTGTTTCTTTTGGGGGTGACGGATATATTGTGCTAGGCATGGCATGGGGACTATGATGGTATCAAAAAGTTCGGTTATGTTTTCTACAACAAAAGCGGTTTGACACCCTTTCTAGGGGTAATATCGATAGATATACTATAGAGAGAAATGTGGGCAGCGAAGGGTGGGTCTGTAAGGTAGGTATCATTTATGTTGGAGAGCCAGAGCGTTATATGAATCAACAACAAATCAGTTTTGATCATAATCAAAGCCATTTCCTTCAATGTAGTAGACATGCTACGGCCCAGCCTCATTTTACTAGACGATTGTTGACTAGTGTTCATTTGAGGGACTATATTCCAAGAATAACTGATAACTACCACCACCTACTGACAATCCTCACAATTCTCCTTCCCCTCAATGGTGCACACCTTTCCCTCCTCCTCGACTTTCTTTTCTTCTTTCCCCTTCTCTACCCCCTCCTCTCTCTTGTCCTCTCCCTCACCAGATTTGGGCTTGGAATAATCCTTGTCCACGTGCCCCAACCCCCTCCCGGGATCGATAACGTCCCTCACGCGTCTCTTGAGCTCTTTTGTTTCGGGGAATCCACCGTCGGTCTTCCTGTCCCAGAGGATTTTCGTCAGAAGCTTGACTTGATCGCTACTCCCGGCTTCAGTAGTAGTAGCGGGAGAAGAGGTGGTGATCTCGACGATGAATACACCTCCGGTTGACGGCTGGAGGGCAACTTCGCCTAGGGAGGTTGAGAAGGTTGATAGGAGCTCTTGGGCGAACTTTGAGGGGTTGTTGTGTTAGTTGAAGGCTAGCGAATCTATTGGGAGGGGTGAGGAGTGGCGAAGTGCTGGTGTGGTATACATCGGCGGGAATGAACTGTGCCAGGCGATATAATAGTATGAGGTGCAGAAGAAGAAAAAAAGCAGATCAACTCCCTGAATTGAAACAAGAGCTGGACCTGGACAGCAAAACACAGGGGGCGTTTAGGAAATAGTTCTCCCAAGTTCAACCGACAATAACGGTTCGAGACGATGCAATGAGAAAAAGAACTCACATAAGCAGCCCTCAACATCCACTTGCACTGCGTACAAAACTGTATCGTCACCCTCGGCAGTCGGGTCGTCGTGGCCGTACTTTCGGTAACCTGCTGCTCTGCCATCGTGTCCCGATTTGCTGGTTGCCAAACAATCTCAAACCGATGGCTGGCGGATATGCGTGATGAGTTGTCTCCCCCGTTCGTTTAACAAAGACGCACATACATACATACATACATACATACATTAGGAAAGCAGACTAAAAAAGCGGTACCTGCATAAAATGGGTACGTAAACTGCGTCATTCGACTTGCAGAAAATCCACTCTCTCAAAACGGTTTTCCCATATTGAAGATCACTTTTATAACTCTCCTTCAAAACATCCCCATGGCAAGACACAATTTCACATCGCAAAAACACACACACACACACACAAACACACGTTTAAAGTTTAATAGTGGTATATCTTCATTCGCCTTTCTTCAGTCCTCATTCGTGAACCCATTTAGCAGGAACCTACACCATGGGCTTAAAAAAAAACACAATAACCATAGCGTACTTTATATACAGAGAGCCCGAGAGGAAAAAAACAGACCAGATATAATAATAAGAAATAATAAGGGGGTGTTGTGTGGTCGGGGAGGAGAGGGAGAGAGAGGGTGAAGAGAAGAACAAAAAACAGGGGGAGCTTTGCAGAGACGGGCAACGACAAGAGAGCCGAGCTACAGCTACAACTTTGGGGGAATAGTCAAAACAGCAAAAAAACAAAACTAAGAAGGAAGAAAAAAACAGGAAGGAAGTCTTAGGTATTACAGGCCGAAAAGCTGCACAGTCTGTCCGTCCGAGACCTTCCCTGCCGAAAAAGAATTTGCGATTCGCCGTCAAAGGTAGGGTAGTAGAAGAAAATAAAATAAAAAGGTTCCGAGAAAAAAATGGGGTATGAGCTTTGGTGTTTTGAGGGCGTAATCGTTGTAGGAAAAGCCGTTGCTGTCGTCGTTCTCGATCCTCCCCCCTTTTTTTTCTTGCTGTCGATGCCCCCCCCCCCCTCCCTCCCTCTCCTCTCTCTTTGCTTGGTTTGCCATGGGTCAAGGTGAAAGTTGAGCTCTGTCCGTCCGTGCTGGATCGTGAGTGAGAGCGATGGCGGTTTGGTTGTAGGAAAAAGAAAAATCATCGGTCGCTGTCCTCCCAGTTCCATCCAACGCGCATGTCCCATTTTTGTCGGCCCAAATTCCACCCAATCCGAATGCTCCGAAAATACCAAAAGACGTTTCTGTTCTCACAAAGCCTTTTCGTCGGGGTCGAGGCGGAATAATCGAACAAGACACCGGCGAAAGAGGGGGTGCACCACATCAAAGACACTCAGAAAATACACAGCCGATTCCGAGCCGTGCCAGGGACACGAGCAAAGGGTCTGCGCTTCCGACTCGACATGTTCTGTAGCTCATCCTACATCACTACACAGCAGCCGTTGCTCTGTTGTGGTGCGTAGGGATCCTCGCCCTTTGGCACAGGACCCCAGACGCTGGGCACCATGTAGTCTCTGGTGCTGTTGCAATAGGCGATGATACTAGAGAGGAATGCGCGTCAGTAAGGGGATACGACGCGATGCGGGTGTGGTGCGCCCTACCTCTTCGATGCTTGGCTTACGGGGATGCGCTCTCTTTCGAGATCTTCACGTAGCCGATTGTTCAATTCTGTCAATCGACGAAGCTTGAGATCCGCCATGCTCTGCTTGGTCTTCTTGATCTGCGACGGGTCGCCGACATCGCGCGATGTGTATTGGGGCATCTTGGGAGGTTTTCTCGGTGCTGACTTTGGGGTTCCAGCAGAGTCGCGCTTGGGAATTAAGGGGAGAGACGCTGGTGGCGGCTTCCTTTCTGGCTTGGCAGAAAAAACTGGCGACCGAGGCCGGCCGTTGGGTATTGATGAAGGAGAATTAACTGGCCGCGATGGCTCTTGTTGCTCTGATTGCTGCGGCGGCTCACGGGGGCTGGCGTCGTTGATGTCGCCCTGGTGCTGCGGCTCGGCGGTCGGAATCCGCGACGACGCCGACGAGTCGTGAGATTTTCGTGGCTGCTGGTCCATTACGGCGTGTCAGTGACCCTATCGCGATGTTTCAAACGAATTGTGCTTTGATGGATGGTGATTGATGCTGTCGTCTTCCAATCCAATTGAAAAGGCTAGAAGGGACGGGTCGCACAGTTTGTTCCCCATTGCTGGAGACGGGAAGCTGGCACTCACATGTGTTCAAAGCAGATAAAGGCCGTGTTTCGGTTGTGGCGGTTGTCAAGGAATGAATGGATTGAAGAGAAAGAGGCGCGCGGATGACTGGTATGCGATTGCCTCGATTGACCACAAGCTGGTTGGAATGGGCGGATGGGCGGATGGGATTGGCGAAGCGACACACGGCGAGCGGGAGCAAGAACTCGGGAAGGGGGTTGATTCAGGAATCTCTCTCTCTCTTGCTCAGGAGCGGGTGATGGTCCGTGCTGACTGCCTGCTACCAAAAAGCTGGGCGAAAAGTAAATGAGATGTCCAGGGGAGGTTAGATTAGCCCGATAGCAAATCATACGACCAATTAACGCATCTCGGGGGTGAGCATGTAGTGAATCCTCTGTCTGTTTAGATGCAATAGATATCTTCTAGGTACAATAGATCCCGTTTTCTATTCTCCGAGGGAATTGCCCATTCAATCAATATCCAGAATACCGACCGACTATTGACATGTTGTGCTCTTTTGCAGGCGTCATCGACTGACCTCTAGCGACCTAGCTAAGAGGTGTCCGACAGGTACATGGCGGGCCCCCATCCAGTGGCTAGCTACTCGCGCATGCTTGCAGCAGCTGAGGGTTTTTGCTGTTTCATGGACGGGGAACCTTGACCTCTGTCTCTTCTCGAGAGCTTGTCTCGGGATAAGAGCAAACTGGGTCTTTCGAGATTCGACATTCTCGGGCCGCTTTCTCAGACCGATACTGTACCAATGCCGACAACTCCCTTCTGATGATGCCTTTCTGCGCATCCGCTATGACTGCAAGGTCTGCAACGATGGCTCTCGGCCGCATGAGGCATCGACAATGTGCCTTGGCAGAAGCGTTTTGACATTGTTCTCAACGCCTTTTTGCCTAGGGCCCCGCAATGTGCATATAAGGGAGAAGAGCCCCACCACGGCCAAGGTTGCAGTGCAAAGTCCAAAACAACAAGGGAAGCCCCAAAGTTTGTGCTCTGCTCAGCGAGGTGAAGAGGCTGCCCTGTCAAAGAGCAAGACAAACTCGCCCGCGAGAGCATACTCTTTAGGCCTTCCCAAGTAGTGTCTGGCAACTGAAATCAAATACACCGCTCTTGGTGCTGAAAACCACATCCATTTCCAGGCTGCCGTCACGTGACCCACGGTACAATTTGAACCCACAAATTTTAAGCAAACGGTGCCAAACTGCCCTGTCAGGGCTTCGACCAACGCAGCATTCTCCACGAGGCGAAAAAAAATCTCTGGTACAGGCCGGCCAAGTCGCAAGCAACCCCTCACGCCGCCTTGCGCTGCTCTTCCAGAAACCCATTAAACTTCCTCGAGACCTGCCAACGCGCAGAGGAGGTTGCCCATCATGGTGAGTCGCGATCCTGTTCTACATAACCCCCACCGGAAGGCAGCTATCTCGACTATCTCGCCTGCAAATGCCCATATCGACTGCCCCCCCCCCTCCTCCCCGCCGCCGCCTCTACTACACCTTGTCGTCATCTATCACTACGCCGCCGTCGGATGGGCCGTTTATGACCACGAACACCTCGACTGACCTTCTCATAGCCTCCCCCACCCCATCAGAAGCCCGAGAATGTTCTCAAGAGGGCCCACGAACTCATCGGAGTTAACCAGGCCCCCGCGGCCCTCACCCTACTTCACGAGCACATCACATCGAAGCGGTCTCGCAATGTCCCCATCACATCGTTGGAGCCTGTGATGCTCCTGTTGGTCGAGCTCTCGGTCGAACAGAAGAAGGGCAAGCTCGCCAAGGATGCTCTCTATCAGTACAAGAATATTGCTCAGAACACCAATGTTGGCACGATCGAGGTGGGTTATGAGTGGAGTCAAGTTGGGTTATATTGCCGGTATTGACAAAAGTACTGCAGCTTGTTCTCAAGAAGTTCATCGAGTTGGCTGCCGAAAAGGTCACCGCTGCTCAGCAAAAGGCCGACGAGGTTCAGTCCAGCATCGAGGCGACCACCACCTCCGACAACGTTGAGGATCTCGAAGCCAGCGAAACCCCCGAGTCCATCCTCTTGGCCACCGTCTCCGGCGAGCAGTCCCGCGATCGTACCGACCGTGCCATTGTCACCCCCTGGTTAAAGTTCCTGTGGGAGGCGTACCGCACAGTTCTGGACATTCTCCGCAACAATGCTCGTCTCGAGTTGCTCTACCAGAGCACTGCCATGCAGGCGTTCGACTTCTGCCTCAAGTACACCCGCAAGACCGAGTTCCGCCGTCTTTGCGAGCTTCTCCGCAACCATGTCCAAACTGCTGCCAAGTACTCGGCTCAAATGCATGCCATCAACTTGAGCGACCCGGATACCCTGCAGCGCCACCTCGAGACTCGTTTCCAGCAGCTTAACGTGGCGGTCGAGCTTGAGCTCTGGCAGGAGGCTTTCCGCAGTGTTGAGGACATCCACACCCTCCTCAACCTGAGCAAGCGCCCCCCCAAGAACATCATGATGGCCAACTACTACGAGAAGCTCACCCGTATCTTCCTCGTCGGCGAGAACTACCTGTTCCACGCCGCTGCCTGGTCCCGCTACTACAACTTGCTCCGCCAGTCTGCTGCCATTGTTGCGGCCGGTGGCAAGAAGTCCGAGAACCCCCCAACCAGCGAGGCTGATCTCCAGAAGGCTGCCACTTTCGTCGTTCTCTCGGCCCTGTCCATTCCCGTCATCAGCACCTCCCGCTCCCGCGGTGCCATGGTCGACTTCGACGAGGCTCGCAAGAACAAGAACTCGCGTCTCACTCACCTCCTCGGCATGTCTCAGGCCCCTACCCGTGCGCTCCTCTTCCGTGATGCTCTGTCCAAGTCTTTGATCCGCCGCTGCCGCCCCGAGATCCGCGACCTCTACAACATTCTCGAGGTCGACTTCCACCCCCTCTCGATTTGCAAGAAGATCTCCCCCATCTTGGCCAAGATTGGGGCCGATGAGGAGATGCAAAAGTACATCATTCCTCTTCAGCAGGTCATCCTCACTCGTCTCTTCCAGCAGCTTTCTCAGGTGTACGAGACTGTCGACCTGGACTTTGTCGAGTCCCTAGCTCAGTTCCCCGAGCCTTTCCAGGTTACCCGCGCCACGATTGAGAAGTTCATCATGAACGGCAACAAGAAGGGCGATCTCGCCATCCGCATGGACCATGCCACCGGTGTCCTTAGTTTCGATGCCGATGTCTTCTCCTCCGCCAAGGCTGCCCACGCTGGCTCCTCTGCCGGCTCTGCTGAAAGCGAGACTGGCTCCGTTCAGCGTCTCCAGAGCACTCCTTCTCAGATTGTGCGCTCTCAGCTCACCCGCGTCGCCGAGGTTCTTTACACCACATGCCAGTACATTGATCCCAAGTTCAACGAGGCGCGCATCCAGGCTCGCGATGCTGCTTTCGCTCGTGCCAAGGCTGGTGCTGAGAAGGAGCACCTCGAGATCCTCGCCAGAAAGGAGATTATTCAGAAGCGCAAGGACAAGGCCTCTGAGGCTCAGGCCGCCCGGGATAAGGAGAACGCTCGCAAGAAGATGGTTCAGGAGCAGCTTCTCCAGCAAGCCGAGGCTGCCCGTTTGGCTGAGGAGCAGAAGCTTCGTGAAGCCAAGCGTCTCGCCAACGAACGGGAGCAGATCAAGCGCAAGGAGGTCGAGAGCATGCTCAAGGATATGAAGCTTGAGGATCTGGCTGGTGAGGACCTCGATACCCTGGACAGCAACAAGATCCGCATGATCAAGCTGCAGCAGCTTGAACGTGAGAAGAACACGGTTGCCGAGAAGCTCCGCATCACCGGCAAGCGTCTTGACCACTTGGAGCGTGCTTTCAGAAAGGAGGAGGCTAAGAAACTCCCCGAGGACTCTGCTAAGCAGCGCGAGCGTGATCTCAAGGCCTATGAGTTGACCAAGGCCCAAACTCTCAAAGAGGCCGAGGAGAAGCACAAGGCTGATGTCGAGATCAAGCACCGCCTGTCTCGCCTGATGCCATTCTACGAGTCATTCAGATCTAACCTCCACGAGCGCCGCCGCGACGAGTTTGAGAAGAGACGTCGTGATGCCGACCGCGAGTTGGAGAAGATGATCAATGCTCGCAAGAAGGAGTACCGCGATCGCAAGATCCGCGAGAAGAGGGAGCGTGAGGAGAAGGAGCGTGCCCTCCGCGAGGCCGAGGAGCGTGCCGCCAGGGAGAAGGAGGAGGAGGAGAGGAGAAAGGAGGCCAAGAAGGAGGAGATGGCCAGAATCAAGGAGGAACGCGAGAAGGAGCGCGAGAAGGCTCGCGAGGCCCAGGCCCGCCAGCAACAACGCGAGGAGGAAGCCATGGCCCGTCGCAAGGCCGAGAAGGCTGCCGACACTGCTCCTCCTATCCGCCGGGAGATTCCACCAGTGGAGGCCCCCTCGGCCGCCGCCCCCCCCCGTATTGCCCTTGCCGGCAACAGACCCAGCTGGAGAGAACGCGAAGCCGCCAAGGCTGCCGGTGGTGCCCCACCAGAGCCCGCTGCCGCCGCTCCTCCTCCGGCCAGAGCTCCTCCTGTCGAGCGGACCGACTCCAACGAGCGCCCTCCTGCCGCTGGTGGTCCTCCCCGCCTCGCCCTTGCTGGCAAGACTGGAGGCTCCAGCTGGCGTGAGAGAGAGGCTGCTAGAGCTGCTGGCGGCGGTGCTCCCATTCCCGAGCGCCCTGCTCCTCAAGGCAGAGTGTCTTCTGGTCGCGGTGGTGCCCCCATTGAGAGGGAAGGTTCCGGCCGTGGTGAGCCTGCCAAGGATGGTGCTACTCCTGAGCCCCTGAAAGCTAGCGGCGCTCCGGGCAAGTATGTTCCCAAGTGGCGGAGAGATAATGCTTAAACAAAAGCGGGCATGTATTGGGAGTTTCTGGCATTTTTCTGTTTCCCTCCATCTCTCGCGCTTGCTGGGTTCCGGTTCATACATGACACACATGACATGCGACACGAAGGATGGGCATGATGCAGCTTCTTCTGGAGTTTTGATTTCTGGGTCTGGAAGGGGTACGGGAAAGAAAAGGTTTTTATTTTTTCGGTCCTTGATCCTTTTTCCTTGCTCCGGATTTGCATGTGTGTAGAAGTAGCATTTCTCGCCATTCGATAGCGAAGGGAGGCAGGGGCAGCAATGAACAAAAGTGATTGCTGCGTTAGGAAGAATGATAGGAATGGATGAGGTTGTGTTTTATTTTTGCTGTTGAGTTGATGAATATAAATTGCATGGCATGTGTGTATTGTTTTGCTGTGTATGAGTTGTGTAGGTAGGCATAAAACCACGTCGGCACTCGTGTGAGAAAGTTCGGACTGAGGTCAGTGATCGACAATTCCAGATACCGGGGAAGATCATCATCAAGCCGCGGCTACCACAACCCACCCGCTCGACTGACAATCGCGAATCGCAACGAGCTACCCGATCTGGCGCCATCGGATGCTGAAGATTGTTGTCGATCACTTCCTCATAGGGCTTGACGCAATCTAGAACTTAATTGACTGAACATGGCGTGGGATCCCGTGCCGTTGAAGGGTCCAATATTGACCTTTTCAACACCCACTGCACCATGGATGGAAAAGTAGCAGGCAGGCTTTCGTAGGGCCACTTCCTTCGGTGAGAGGAACATGGCATGATGAGGGCATCATGATATGTAACACGAGGAAATGCTACCCACACTTTTGATTGGGGGGCGGGCATGCGGTTGTGTGGCAGCGATGAGTCTGTGGAAGTATGGATTTATGCACGGCGTTTAGGGGAATTTTCGCAAAGTTGACAGCCCTCCGGCGTGTTGGATGTATCTGAATTCCGGGATGTTTTTGGTTTATACTTATTTGATCCTTCTCTCTTCAGACTCCACATTGAGTTCCGAGAATGGCAGTCTCGTCGTCGTCCTCTTTTGCACAGACATCTTTTCTTTTACCTAACAAATACGTCTTGGGAAATAGAGCGCAGTGAAAAGTTAGGCTGAAACGTTTTATTTTCTCCTCTTTTTTGACTATTGTCCTTGGTATTTCTTTGGCTGTTCTTCCTTGGTAATTGAGGCTGTGATGTGTTTCAGTTGAGCCCACCTACCTCCTGCCAAAGGTGAAAGAACGAAGGATGGAAGCCAAGATGAGCTCTGAAATAATGTTTCGCTCCCTGTTTACGGGGTAGACATCCTCCAGTGGCGAGAGAACCCCGCGCCAGAAGCCATATCTTCTCGAACAAATCTCGTTCATCATCTTCCTCTCGGCTTCGCCTGTTGGAAGCGATACATACACGTGGCCCAGCACAAAACGAACGGTCTTTAAAACTGAAGAAGCAACTGCGATCGGTTGTCCGGCGGAAGTTGATGCGCAAGCCAAAAAGCTAGCGTTCAGACCCTTGCTCACCTGAAAAGCTGCCAATTGCGGCCAGAAGGACGTTTTGCTGGAAGGAGAAAAAAGGTTGGGGAAGGGGTGGTGGTTAGCTCGTATGCACGGGCAGGGTACCTTTTTTTGTGATGGGATGGGGTGTCGTGCTACCCCGCAGCCACATCGGAAGATATGGGCAGCCGTGTGTGAGATCACGATTGGTGATGGGTGTGGAGTGGGGTGTACTGCAGATGGATGGGTTGGGACGTAAAAAGAAGCGGTGATGGTGATGGTGACTTGTTACGACTACCTCAGCCCTAAGAAATCAATAGTCCGGTCAAGGCCGAGAGAAAGACGCTATAATAATACTCCGTGAAGTGCTGGCTGGTATGGAAGTGCTGCGAACGTTCGGTGGGTTGTACGGTGGGTTTCTGTGGATGAGGAACAGGGTGGACAAGCTCATATAAATCCGGAGGTCCTTCACTGCTGTGTAGATTAAAAGCTGAAAGAGAAAAAAGATTGTGATGATGACGGTGTGTGTGTGTGTGTGTGTGTGTGTGTTGTGTGTGTTGCCAACCCGGAGTTTGGGTAGGTTGTCTCTTCTGATGGCTCTGTTGTACAAATATTTTTCTCTTGGGAAGAGCGGAAATTGGCGTCTGCATGGTGCGTCGTCTGCATGACAGGAGATATTGCAGCAGTTGGGGGTAGGACGCCCTCTACATGAGTGGCTTATACCAGGTCGTAGTGCAGCATAGCTCTCCAGTCCCCAACACGACGCCAACTCTCTAGGTGCAGCTTCCAGCTGAGAACTTGTACGCGAGCTTTTCCAATAACTTCAAAATGGGCGCGTCTCGTGGGCAAACATCTTTCGATGTGAGGGTTTATTTGATCATGTCTGTCAGCTGACGGGGAGGCCACCTCAGTGGCCAAGGAAAGGCTGAACAGAGCCTGAAAGAAAGAAAAAATAAATCAAAAAAGGCTCGGCATTGAAGCTGGGAGCGAGCGAACAGAGCTTGAATCGTGATTTGGTGGGGTCGTCGAGGATATGCCGTAGCGGTTGATCAATTTCAGGGGGTGGTTTTCTTCGCTTCTCAGTTGACAGGCAGCCTTAATCGAGGAGAACCCGGGATTTTGGGTCCGTCTCTCTGTTGTTTTCTTCCCCGGAAAATCAATGAACAGAAGGACGAATGAAGAGACAGAAATACCCATTGCGTGCTTGAATTCTCCTGTGAGATGCCCGTCGCTGACATCAGGGCTTGCCCCCCTTCCCTCCCGTCAAATCGATCGAGGCTGTGAGATGCAGAGAAAAAAAAAAAGGGGGGTCGATGCGTTCAGGGTCCAAGCTGGCAAGGGTTGGAGAGGGTCTGGCCAAAGCGGGTGTGGAGAACGGGAGCTGCAGGTACGCCGACCAATGGCAGGGTTCTTAAGGACGTCGACTTTTCTTCTTTGGGACGACCTCTTCATCTCCACAGGCGCTCTGTGCGACAACAGCAAGCTCTGCGAATGACTACAAACCTACCCACTTGGGTCCCCGAGCTGAAGGAGCAACACGTCAAGAGAGTCACATTGACAATGTAACCGACTGTCCATCCCGCGGTGGAGTGTGTGTCCGAACCCGAGCAGCCTTCCCTCTGGTTTACTCTCTCGTCTTCACTGTTTATTTTGGGTTCTAGGAGTAGAGATGAAGGACTGCTGTTCCGCTGTCGATGTGCCGCCGCTAGGAACAAGAACAATGTCTCAGAGACATGTGCTGTGGCGGCTTAGAATGGGTTGATGAGGCTCTCTCCCCGGGTGCTTTGCTTCCATCACGCCGCTCGTCTACGGGTACCTGATTTGGGGCTTTTGGGCTTGCCGAAGTTGCCAAAAACAGACCATCGACGAGGCCCGGAAATCGGATATTGGGTACACTCTTGGAGCCAAGCTTTCCACGTCTCTTCTGCCTTGACCCTTGGTGTCGAAGCGCTACCACGGTGATGGCTTGGCCCACCTTCCATGGATCCAATAGTGTGCGGATGCTTCCCATGCCATGTCGGCGACGGGATTGGGGAGGGGGAGGGGGGAGTATTTCCATAAGACCAGCTTCCCCGACTTCACGATGCTTTCTCTTTTTTTTTTCTCTTGCTCTTCAGGGTCTTCCTCACAGCCGCGAACACGACAGTGATACCTAATCAACTAATCTACGACAAGGCCTCTTTACTTGTCGATACATTCGTTCTTTTCGACTTTGTTGAAATATGGCCAGCCTCAAGGCCGTGGCTGCCCTCGCGGCAGTCACCTTGGTTGGTCGTGTCACCGCCACCGAGGTCTTCCTCCCACCATGCCTGGACCCCTTCCAGCCTTTCGTCTACTCGGGGTGCTTCTCCGAGGCCAGTGGCACCCAGATCCTCCCCTACCGCAGCCCGGCAACTCCTGATGACATGACCGTCGAGAAGTGCGTTGCTGAGTGCAAGGGCAATGGCTACAGGTATGCCGGTCTCGTCTACTACGGCGTCTGCTACTGCGGTCAAACCGTGAAGGGTGACCTCACCGAGGAGTCTGAGTGCAGCTTCCCCTGCAAGGGTGATGACACCCAGATCTGCGGTGCCAACGGCAAATTCTCCATCTACCAGGACCCTACCTTCGTCCCCGTCGACCAGACCACCATTGCCGACTATGATCCTCTTGGATGCTGGACCGACGACTCTCCTCAGGGGAGAGCCCTTTCCTACCGCCAGGACTCCGTCGATGGCGCCACCATGACCACTGAGAAGTGCTTGCAGGCTTGCCATGCCGGCGGTTTCCCCTTTGCCGGTACTGAGTATGGCGGTATGTATCCATCTATCCGAGGCTTCTGTCAGCAAATCTCGTGAAACTAACATGACGCAGGTGAATGCTACTGCGGTGTTGTCATTGGCAATGACACCTACTCTGCCCCCGCCTCCGAGTGCAACATGGCCTGCAACGGTGCCCCTGACGAGAAGTGCGGTGGCCCTGGTCGCCTTAACCTCTACGCCGCCGACGAGCTCCTGTCTCTCGAGCCCTGCGGCTATGAGCCCCCCGTTGTCTCCAGCAGCTCGGAGCTCCCTGTCGTCAGCACCGTCAGCACCGAGTCCTCCACCAGCACCCCCCTTGTCGAGGAGGAGCCCACCACCAGCACCACTGTCGAGGAGCCCACCAGCACCAGCACTCCCCTTCCTACTCTCCCCCCTACCACCTCCACCACCGCGCCCGTGAGCACCACCTCCACCACCAGCTCCGTCTGCGTGACCACCACCGTCATCCCTCCCAAGTGCGAGTACAAGTGCGGCAAGTGGTGCTCCAACCCCCTTCCCGACTGGGAGAACGACGCCAAGTCCTGCAAGGCCGCCTGGACCAACTGCCTCTTGCAGGTTGCCTCCTGCTTCAAGAACGCCGGCTTCCCCCAGTCTCTTGAGTGCTTCAACTTTGGCCAGTGGTGCGCCGATGTCGACGATTACTGCGTCAAGACCCCCAAGGGCAAGAAGCACGACTTTTTCGGCAAGAAGCCCCCCAAGGGAGGCAGCCCCGCCACCACCGTGACCGTCACCACCGCTTGCCCTACCGCCGCTCCCACCTCCACCAAGCCTGCCACCACCACCAAGCCCGCGACGACCACCACCATCTGCCCCACCCCAGCGCCCACCAACATCTGCAAGCAGCCCACCAACAACTACTACGGCTACAAGCCCGGCAAGCCCGTCGGCGGGATTGACCTGCCCGTCGTGACCTGCAACGACTTGGTTTCGGACTGGCCTAGCTACCCCTTCAAGCGGTACTCGGACCCTGACACGAGAAAGTGCAAGAAGTACAGCCGCTCGACGCCGAGCACTGCCTGCCAGGACGCGTGCAAGGAGCAGTACGAGGACTGCTTGGATGTTTATGCCGAGGGGTGCAGGAATAATAAGTTTAGGCCGAGGCAGGATAGTTACTTTCAGCAGATGGAGAAGAGGACTTTCTGGGGGGGGTGGAGCGACAGCTTTAATGGGGCGAAGGATAAGTGCAGGGCGCAGTATAATGACTGTTTGAGTGTGAATAGGAATGTGGATGTTAAGGGGAAGTGTAATAAGTTTTGCGAGTAAAGGGGGAAGGGAAAGAGGTTGGGGGGAAAGAGGGGGGGTGTGGTATGATAGGTATAGGATACAGTTCTTACGCTCTTTGGAGGTATGTGAGTTGACATGTAATTATTAATGAGATTTTTACCGTTTGTTGGTATGTTGCTGTTTCTTGTTCTTTGTCACATGATTTTATTACGCAGAAAAGAGAAGCAGGGTATTGCAGGCTGTTGTGGCTGGAAAAACTGATGTGGATTAGAAATGGTGGTGTTGGGGGAGAGGGTAGGTTGGCTGAAAGAAGGTGGCGGCGACCTTAACAATATGAGGGGTAATTCCGCATCCACACAGCATCAATCAATAATACCTCACCGGGTGACTAGTCTAGTGGTCAGGACGCTTCGTTGTGGTTGTTTCCAAAGAAACATCACATACGATCCGAAGAAACCCCGGTTCGATTCCGGGGTCGCCCACATCTTTTGCCCTCTCTTCTTTTTTACTCCCCACTCTTCTTCTCTTTTGGCTTGGAGTTGAAGCAATCTGGAAAACACTTGCACTAGAGTTTTCTTTTTCTTCGGGGGTAGCTGCTTCCTCCACAGCATCTAATGAGGCATGCATGGCCCTGCATCTGCCGCATTATCCTCTTGACGGTGTCTCATGACATTCAAGGAAGATATCTCGACCGTTTTCTCCTGCCCCATCTACCTTGGCTTTCATACCCTGATCTTGCTGTCGTCTATAAGTGATGATACCAATGTCGGGAGAGTATAAGTCCTGAAGCTCTTGCAGGGGTGTGATTATGTGGTTGGTGAAAGGAAACTGTAGTTTTGTCTGATGATGTGGCTTTGTGTGTGGGAGACTAGATGTAATTCAGCGGAGGGTTTAAAAGCTAGACGCCAGGGCAGAGAAGGAAATGAGACCAGATGGAGATTACCCAGGTCGGATATGGATATCAAGAGGAAAGAAAGTTGGGCAATGATGAGTGACGGAGAGACGAAGAGGGGGAGAGAGCCACTGTCCGAGTTAATCACTACACAACTTAATTGTGTTAGATGTAAGGTATCGAGATAATGTTGAAGGAAGAGAAAGAGGGTGAACGCTAAGGTGGTTCTTGGTAACGAATTACAACCGTGTAAGGTGTTTCGAATGTACACCTACCTACCCTGATCAGCGCCTGTTGGAACAACCCACCCAGATACTAGCAACATCTCCAGCACTCTATCTTCCAATTCTCATTCTTTCAAACCAACTACTAAGCTTTGTTTCAAGTTTGCCCCCCCCCCCCCCCCCCCCCCCAACAATGACCCGCCGCTCCGTCATAAGCAAACACCCACACAATATGTACAACCCTCCCTTTCCCCCTTCTTCCAGCGAAAGTAGCGGAACTCCTTTTTCAACTAAAAGAACCCACAATCCACCAAAAGTAAACCCGTGTTCCTGCCTCTGCCTGCCTTGTGAAAACCCGGACGGAGTCTCGCTAGGATGGTTCTTCCTGGGGAGCCGGAGCGAATCTATTCGAGGAAGTAGCTACAGGCCGGTGATTGAAATCCTGGCCGGGTACGGGGTTGAAACGGTGGATAGCTTCGCTTTCTTTTTGCCTTTTGACTGTGAGGAGACTTTGTAGAAAACTTTGACTTGAAATCAAAGGGCGAGGTGGGTGGGCATTTGGAGACTTCAGGTTCGCGCTGATCGTTGCATAGGAAGGAAAGGAAAAGAAAACCATCTGCTGTGTTTCCGCCGCCTTGTGCTGAAGGATTTCATCTGGTGGAGGAATCGCGAAATGATATTTCTGTCAACAAGAGAGGAAAAAAAGCTGTTGACATACATACCTGCACCAGTGAGAAGCCTTACACAACTATCCCATAACCACACACCACTTGGTTAACTCCTACAGCATAATGCGGGTGAAAAAGAACCAGGCACCTAAAAAATTTGACAACATGATTGTCCGAGGACATGCACGTTGCAAAATATGCATCAGCCGTGAATCGAACACGGGGCCCATCGATGGCAACGATGGATTTTACCACTAAACCACTGATGCTGATCTTTTGAGATGTTGTATCCATTCGGAATGTGGGTTCAACATCGACAGAGCCTGAGTCTGATGACAAACTCATGAATGGAGTCCAGAAGAGCTAACACGATGTTCACATACCTCCAAGACAGTAACAAATTCGAGCTTGTATCTAATTCAAGGGGATTTTTGTACAGATATTAGCTGCACCAGTCAGATCGACAATGCCCCTGAGAAATTGTCTCACAGAATGCGAGACTGGACTTTCTCTCAAAAGCGAAATGACTGCTCATGTCACCCATCTTCAAGATCATTGCTTGACAGGCTTTTCCAAGCCACCCGCCCCTCCTATCTCACTCATCCCCCTTCTCACGCATCCAAATAGATTCATAACCCAACAACAAATCTTTTTTCAATATTCCACAAGTGATATACACAGGCAACCCCCCTCCCCCATTGCCCC